CCTCGGGCCAAGGGGTAATAGATCAAGATTCTCCGGCTTAAGGTCACTAGGTTGCAACCTCCTGGCTACCACCGGGAACTTTATCAAGTGGGGGCTGGCTTGCCATCCAGTACTGGAACAGTTTCTCCAAGTTCTCCAAGGTCTCCTCTGAGGATTTCCACCGCCAGTCTAGACTCCAGACCGCGATCTCCCAAACTTTGAATCCCCTAAAAAAAAGCCTGACCTATACGGAATAGGACGACATAAAATTACCAGCTAAGGCTGGTATCAATAAACTCAATAATCACAGTATCATGTTTCTATTTCAGTTGCACAACATATTGAATTTCTCAATATATCAACTATTATTTTGAAATAAAGTTCATAACCATAAAACATAGTTATCACTAAGGTGCAAAATAAAAATACATAGATGTAACACAAATACACAGAAATACATTCAAAATACACTTAACAGCCCTGAATGAATGAATGAAGTGTATGAAAAAACCTCAATAGCATTCACTAGTATTAAGTGTCTCAACGGCCGTTAGCAGGGTCCTATTAGGCCATTATTTAAAAACTCGATATAAAACACTGTTTCAAAACATAAAACTTGACAGAGCTACTCCACTCACCACTGGTAGTAGTCCGGAACACAATAAAAATATCCCGTTTTATCGTTAAAAGACATTTTATAAAGTTAACAAGGATAATACACATTAGCCGTTGGCTTCAACTTAGCAGCGGCTGCAGCTACAAGTGCTGTTTGCATTGAGAACGATGGGCACACAATGCCGGACATTAGCAAATAGGCTAGCAGAAACAGTGCAATGGATCGGCACATTAGCTTGAACATGCCCTCCGGATTAGACTCTTTAGTGTTTCTCACTATTGGTTACAGTCATAAGTCACAGAATTAAATATTAACACTTAATAATTAATGTACCACTACGATGATTCAGCTACATCGGTTTCACTTCCGGTCTCCCTCATTAGCACAAACGGCTGAGACGGGGGTCTAAACATTCTATTGGCTAGGGTGTAGTAACACTACTACACTAATAGGCTAATGCCACAGTAACAATATGCCCTTGTATTGGATGATATCAATGTTTACAAGTGATCTTTTCAACATAAAAGCATTTATTTATACTTATATATAGTTTTCACATATATTATCTAATCACTTGTATATGATAAACCTATATTTATTGCATATTTATTTCACTCATTATGTATTCTATTTAATTGGTTGTCCCTTCTCTCACTCTCCAAAATCTAACTTTTGGAGGAAAAAAATAAGTTTCAGAAAATAATAATAAATTATTTTATTATTTTTAGGGGTGTCATGGGTTGGCTGAGTGAAGGAAGGGAGCTGAGGTGTGGACCCAAATGCAGACCAAAAGGCGAAGAGGTTGTTGTTCAAAAACATTTACTAAACACAAAACTGAACAAAACAGGCTTACGTCAAGCACAAGGCAAAGACCAAAATAATCCAACAAGCAAGTAATCCAACAAGCAAAAGAATCCAGAGCATGGGCAGAGTAGCTGAAGTTGAACCAGAGCTGGTGTTGGTCGGACCACCGACAGAGGGCCAGACGTGTGGTCCTGACGTCCAGAGCCATGGTGACGAGGTAGCCTCCGATGACCACCACGGCCACCCGGGAAGATGGCGAGGCAACTTACCACAAAGAGGGCTGACTGGGTTGGCAGAGGGAGGACAGGAGGAGGGCCCGGAGGACGACCCAACTGGCAGAGTTCAGGGGGTCGGCAGAACGGCCAACAGTGTGGGCAGAAACCCACTGGAGGCTGAGCAGGAGGCCGACGTCAAAGGCGAATCCTTTCTGGGAGCCAAGCGGACGGCGGGAGCCAACCAGAGGTCGACGAAGGTGAGACCTCTCCGGAGGTCAGGCAGGAGGCCGGCGTAGGAGGCAGAACACAGCAAAGGTGGGATCTCTCAGGAGGCCAAGGACCAAGGCGAGACCTCTCTGGAAGTCGAGCAGAGCTGAAGGCCAGCAGCGAAGCAAGCGAACAGGGGACCAGAGACGAGGCTGCTGGGCTGAAGACCGGCGCCGAAGCAGCAGCACGGGGAACCAGAGACGAGGTTGCTGGGCTGAGTTCCGGCAACTGGACAGCAGGGCTGAGGCCCAGCATTGAAGCACTGGGGTCATGAGCTGGTTAGAACACTGCCCGAGACTGTGGAGCAGGAACTGGCTGGACCACCAACAGAGACCTTGGAGCAGGAACTGGCTGGACCACCGACTGGACAGCAGGACTGGAGAACATGGACCGGACCCAAGGTGTAGGAATCGGTCTGCCCACCGAACGGAGACGTGCGGCAGGACGAGGGACCAGCAACAGGCGTCAATCGGACCACCGACAGGAACTGGGTGGCAGGAGTCGGTCGGACCACCGAAGGAGACCTTGGAGGAACAAGAATTGGCTGGACCACCATCGGAGCTGGTATTGGGCGGACCACCGACTGGGCACAAGGAGCAGGAGTCGGCTGGACCACCAACGGAGCTGGTGTTGCTTGGACTACCGACTGAGGGGTCATGGAGCTGGTCCTGATGTCCAGAGCCATGGTGACCAGGTCGCCTCCCGATGACCACCACGGCCACCCTGGAAGATGGGGAGGAGACTTCTCGCAAAAGAGGGATGGTCGTCGGGGGATGGAGTCAGCCGAGACGGGCCAGGAGAGTCATAGTCCCAGAGTCTTTGCTAGGGGGGTCAGGCAGGCAGCCGGGCAGGCCAGGCGGGTGACTAGTCATTGGGGCACTAGCTGGCTAACTACTAGCTTGCTGGCTAGCAGGTAAGGAAACAGGCTGGTGGCTAGCCGCTGGAGCGCTAGCAGGCAAAAAAAACATTTATTAAACACAAAACTGAACAAAACAGGCTTACGTGAAGCACAAGGCAAAGAACAAAACTGAAGTAATCCAACAAGCAAAAGAATCCAGAGCATGGGCAGAGTAATCCAAAGAACAAAGGACGGAACAGGCAAGAACACTCAACATTTGAAACAAGGACGTGACAAAGACTGAAGACACAAGTAGGCATATACACAGTATATAAGTAGGCAGGCAGAGAGACAGCAGGGGAAACAGACAGACACCAATAAGGCCATAGCGCAACTAATAAAAACCAGGAATAAACAGAATATAAATAAATGAACCGGAACATAAGAAGAACGATCACTAATATACCAAAAAACTACTACTAACAGGGAACTGAACTAAGATTAAAGAGAACACAGAGCAAACATGGACAAAATAATACCGAAGTACACGGACCAGGAGTAGACACTAAGACACGGATCAGAATGCAGGACATAACTAGAATACGAGACAAGACAGATACTAAGAAAACTTAAACATGCGAATGAACAAAAAGGACTAGACTTAGCTACAAAACCCTAAACATGACAAGATCAAATAAAGCTATAGAAACACAGAATCCAAAACCAAACCCTTGAAAACAGATACCAAGTAAAATAAAATAATAAACAAGGCTACACAGAGAAACACAGAACCAAAAACAGACTTAAACAGGAAAGACATTAACACAAAACCACACTCCTATCTGCTATGGTGCTTAAATGAAATGCTGCAGCAACCCTAAAAATTTTCTAAAATCGCCCCTGGTCCTGAGGCTCTCTGCAGTCCCCAACACCAGCTCAAGCAGACCAAACCACATTATCAACAAGCAAAAAGAAAAATATATTGAATACTGGAAAGAAAGTAAATAAACCCCGAATTCATATCAGACACACAGAAACTCCCCTATTTACTGGGAGAAATGCCCAAATGTCAAATAATTGCTGCAAAATATATCTCATCATGCCATGAATTGAGGACAACCAGTGGAAACTCAGAATAGACTCAAATATAATAATTGCTCTGAAAAGTTTTCAAATTATTATTTTATTTGTTTGTTTTAATCTCACATTCCCAGCGACCCTGTATGCAGGATAAGCTGTTGCCGATGGATGGATGGATGGATGGATAGATAATCTTACATTTGATACAGTTTTTTTTATTTTATTAATATACACACACACACGTTTACTGTTTTTTAAATGTATTTTAATATTAAATTTTTATTTTTTAAACACACACACACACATTTTACTGTTTATTTACTTTGTTTTAATAAATATATTTTTTTATTATTATAATTTTTTAATAGTGATTAATAAACTGTACAAAATGAATTGTTTGGTCTTTTGTAATTTATTTGTAGCTTTGGCAATATTGTTGTTTAACATTCATGCCAATAAAGCTAGATTGAAATGAAGTGAATTGAATTGGGAGAGAGACAAGTAGACAGATAGGTGGAGAGACAGACAGAGAGAAAAGAGGTAGACAGACAGAGGTGTAAAGGAAGACTGGCTGGTAGACAAGTAGAAAGACTGATATATTAGACAAACAGGTGAAACAGACGAGACAAAAATACATTTAAACAGATGGGTAAAAAGATAACAAACAGGTAGAGTCAGATTGCATCACTACTAGATCACTACATGGATTAAAATAACACCTGTCTCTCTCTCTCTCTTTCTCTTTCAGATAAAGAATAGGGCTCCCTGCACGTTGGAGTGTCTGGCCAAATACACTCCTGATGTTGTCAATAGACCAACTAGCAGCAGACACTCCCAAGGCTGAGCTCATGTATCCAGCCAATCAGAACAAGGCTTCTTTAGGACACTCAGAGATCCTCGCAGGCACAGAGCACTCACTCTAACACAAACACAGCCACCCAAAACACAGGTTAGGAAATACAGCTGACAGAAACAGTCGCTGAAATCAACTCTGTGATGTCACTGTATCAACAGCTGTGTTAATATTTTATCATATTAGGTTCTCTAATACAACTACTTCCCTTTATTTCCAGAAACTGTTACTGTAGCTCTTCACATTACCTGACTTCCTCCTTCCCTGACCTGCCCCACCTGTTTCTGTAAATGTTACAGAACTGTTCAAATCAAAAGTAAAGTTCTCTCAGAGGTATTATCAGGGGAGGAAAGGGACAATTGGCTGTGAACTGATGTCCTCACTGTGTTTCTGAAGACTTCCTTTAGTGAGAAGCAGATTAACTTTGTGCTTGTTGGAGTTTCTACAGGAAGATGAAGATGTTTGTGGTGTTTGTGATCCACGTGCACGGTAAGATAACCTTCCTCCCTCTGATCTGATCATCACCTCAGTCCAACGTCACGTTTTCTTTGTGTTTCTTTCATCTTAACTTAAATAATATGTGTCAGCAACCAATACTTTCCTTTTGTTCACTTCCCTGTAATACTCTGTGTACACTGTGCACTTGTAGTGAGTGAATTTTGATAATTTGGATAGTGTAATGTCTCAAATCAAACATGTCACAGTCCTCCATTTGCCCATTCTGAGTGAAAGTGAATTCTGGACTTCCTTCCACTGACCCTGCAGTTCTTACAAGGTGTGTGGCCATGCGCTGTAACCACTGCACCACGGAACACAGTGCTATTTGCTGTAAGGCTGCGTTTTATGAGGGGTGGAACATTTTCCACCTGCCTGCCTACTTAGCACTCCACCTAACCTAGTTAACCCATGGAGGTAAAACGAATTCAGGACCAGGCCAGATTAAGTCTAAACTCTTTTCCAACATTTTTATTCTCAGCAAAAATAGTCAGCAACTGGAGTCCAAAAGATGCAGTAGAGACAGAGTTCAATGTAAGAAAAAAATCTGAGTTGAAATAATGGAATGCCACTACGTCTTGCAACACCTTTGAAAGCTCTGTTTTCAAAGCATGTCCTCGTCTCCTGGCTTTTTTCAGTCAGCAGTTTTCCTGTCATCTGCCCATACACCTATGCCAACACTGTAGATCTACAGGATAGGGTGACTCTAAACAACAATGTTGTCTGGTTAGATGGTTGTTTGGAAAGTATAGGGGCCAGAGTTTTGCGACACATTGGAGGGAGTACAAATAACTCTGAATTGATTTCACTCTGACAAATAATGGATTAATGCTTAAAATATATATAACTTTTTTCAATTAAACAATCTCCAACCAAAATCACAGCAAATAATGTTGACAGCATTAGCTTAATCCAATCTTGCACTGATACACCACACTAAACAGCACCATATGTAACTAGAACTGCTCTATTTCTTTCCTATTTTTTAAGTATTTGGTGTAGTGTCAGGTATTGTCGGATTGCTGACCTTTGTGGCTTCACTCATGCTCCTACACCTAGCTAGGTTATATCGTAGCAGAATTTTCAAGCAGAAGTGTCAAGGCTGCAGGAAGGGTTAGGCGATGTAAGTTGCTGGAACTCTGTCCCCAGTATAATTTTCTCAAGTGTTTGCCACGGAAATCTGTAGGAAAAACTCCACAAAAATCTCACAATCCACTAATATGTATTTTTTTTTTTTTTGTGTTGATTTAAAGTCATATCCGCAAAAATACATTGTTATTAGCAAAAATGCATATTTAATAAAAAATATATATATTATATGATTAATAATTAGTGTTTTCCTACTGTCCTAAGTCACATGTTTATAGTTAAGCAATTTAAAACATTCGCTTTCTCTTTCTGCAAAAGTAGTTTTTTTTGGAGAAGATAGAGTTTTTGTTTGTAAGAATTCTTCTTTAAACTTTAACTGTTTGCACTCCTATAAAGCTGTGGCAGATTTCAAATACTGGTCAGGTGTGAGAGAGCCCGCAGCAGACACGCCCCAAGATCCCAGGCAGGAGAGAGAATGGAGAAAAAAACACAGATGAACAACACCAACACCAACACACCAAGCTCCCAGCACACGATCAAAACATAAAGACAGTACTAGGTTGGACACCGTTTGCCTTAGAACTGCTTTAATTTGTGGCATGCTTTCAACAAGGTGATGGAAACATTCCTCAGAGTCTTTGGTCCATATTGACATGATAGCATCACACAGTTGCTGCAGATTTGTCGGCTTCACATCCATGATGTGAATCTCCCATTCCACCACATCCCAAAGGTGGTTTATTGGGCTGAGATCTGGTGAATGTGGAGGCCACTGGAGTACAGGAAACTGGATGGAAAGGAGGAGCGTCTGGTGTGGTCTTCTGCTGCTGTAGTCCATCTGCTTCAAGGTTCAACATGTTGTGCATCCCATTCTCCTCTGACATCAATAAGGCATTTACGGCCTTACTGGGTATTTTGTCTTTTTCTGACCATTGTCTGTAAACACTAGAGATGGTTGTGTGTGAAGATCCCAGTAGATCCGAAGTTTCTACTTAATACTCAGACCAGCCTGTTTGGCACCAACAACAATGCCACATTCAAAGTAATTTAAATCCCCTTTTCCCCCCATTCTGAGCTCGGTTTGAACTTCAGCAAGTTGTTATCACCATCACATGCGAGTTGAGTTGCTGCCATGTGATTGGCCTCCCTGAACCCCCCTCAGCCAGATCATCATCATCATCATCTTCTACATGGATGATATCAAGAGTTTGGACTGGACAAGTGTGGTCGCATGGTATCAAAAACAGAGAAGATGATCATAAATAAGGGGATTGAAAAACCAGAAGGCCGCATTGCAGATGTTCAGGACATCTACAAATATCTTGGGGTGCTGCAGGCTAACGGAAACCATGAGGAGGCAGCAAGGAAGTCCCCCACAGCCAAATACCTACAGAGAGTGAGGCAGGTCCTGAAAAGTCAGCTGAATGGGAAAAACAAGACCTGAGCCATCAACACATACGCCCTGCCAGTCATCAGATACCCCGCTGGTATAATAAACTGGCCAAAGGAGGAGATGGAGGCTACTGAGGGGTGGTGATGGCGCATAGATAAGATGCTTGCTGCTGCACGGCATGTACCACACACAAGTAGAAGAAGTGGCTGATGTCCAGAAATCCTACCAGTGGCTGAAAAGGCTGGACTGAAGGACAGCACAGAAGCACTAATCATGGCAGCACAAGAACAGGCACTCAGTACAAGATCAATAGAGGCTGGGGTCTACCACACCAGGCAGGACCCCAGGTGCAGACTGTGCAAGGATGCCCCTGAGACAGTACAGCACATAACAGCAGGGTGTAAGATGCAGGCAGGAAGTGCGTACATGGAACAACATAACCAGGTAGCTGGCATAGTGTACAGGAACATCTGTCATGAGTATGGGCTGGAAGGTCAAAAAGGAAGACACCTCCTACGGTAGTTGAGATTGACCGAGCTAAGATCCTGTGGGACTTCAAGATCCAGACATTGTGTGCAATTAATTGTGATTTTCATTTTAGGTCAAATACCCAGCCTATCCATATATACCGTAAAACATTTTTACAAATAACCACCTGCCTCAATTTATTGCCTGGTCTAGTTTTTGTATAAAACCTCTTAAACCCTGCAGTGTCGCCCGCTTTAGCAGCTTAGATCGTTAATACAAATATTAATGTTTAAACGTGTGGTCAATATGTCTGTATGAAAATGCTACACATAGTTAGATTCTCCACAATTCAATAGTTCAGTTCATTTAAGGGAAACAACAAGCCCCAAAGTCTAATTCTTTCAAATTGACCAGTGTAACCTGCATGGTACAAGAGAGAAAAGGAAAAGTGATGACTGCCGTTAAGTTACCTTTGAAGTGCTCATTTAGCCTGAATGTGTCCGTTCCTTGATTATTTATATTCCTTTACTCTGTAAGGGTCCACTGATCAAAATAATCAAACAGCTTTTCATAAAATTAATCCAAGTTGTGAATCCTGTGATGTGAAGTCTATCCTCTCTGTCTGCTAACTTCTGTCATCCTGCACCGTGTTGTTGTCGTCAGGATGTTACTTCAAAATAAAAGCGCATAAGCCGTCTGTCGGAGCTAGATGAAATGAATGACATGTATTTGATAATTTATTCTATTTGAAATAAATAAACTGTTTCATGGTAGTTTCAGAATTATAGGCCTGTCCCAAATATAGGCAGGGTCAATAAAAGCCCAGATATATATCTATATATATCAGAAATGTATCAAAAATAAAAACAAATTTGGCTCAATGTACATAGGCTACTGTACACATACAGTGGGATTGCACAATTTCACTTACATTTAATTTTTTTCTTCAAAATTTCCAATGTTTTCTAATAGTTATTTCTATTTGTGCTGGTCAATGATGACGGATAGGTAAAAATGTACTTCTAAAAATTTAATAGAACTGGGGTCGAGGGGCCACTAAGTGCTCAAACAGAAACTAATATTCACACACATTCAGCCACCGGTGGAATAGCCACCAGGGGCAATTCAGTGTTCAGTATCTTGACTAAGGACACTTCGACATGCAGCCTGGAGGAGCCAGGGATTGAACTGCTGATTTTCCAATTAACGAGCAACCTGCTCTACAGCTGCCCCTAGATCAAGCTTTCTGATGTGCTAATGTGGTACGGTGGACCAGGAAGGGGGCAAATGAATGAAAGCCAAACTACGCCACCTAGGGAATTACACCCCAGGAACTATTATTTAAACCTTGATTAATTGAAGGAGAATGAAGAGAAGAAGGCACACAGGAACGTTACTGATGAGGCAGAGACCTGATTCAAAATGTACGAAAATCTATTTATTTTTAATCAGCAAAAACAAGCAATCTGGGACTGGAACTGCCAAAAGGAAAGGAAATGTGAACAAACAATAAAAGTATGATAAAATGGTTAATAAGACAACTTTCTTACAATAATTAGTTAAACTGTCTTCAATATAAATTCAAATAAAGAACCCAAAATAAGTTTAACCAAAACTAAGCAGAGGTCACTTGTGGAGAGGCAGGCTATGCTGAGGAGTGATACCAATACCTACCTTAAGTGCAGCACTACAAACCTCACAGCCTTATTCACAGCAAAAATGGTGCAGTCTATGTAGTGCCCCCGTGAAATTACTCACATGCAGAAAAGTGAAGGGGCCTTGCCACGGGTGCCTAGCCTCCCAACAAGATGGCACCCTAAACAAAATATAAGTTTAATACAAAAGAATAATAAACAAATTCATATAAAATAACAAAGTGACCTAAAGTTACCCAGTTGGCTGAAAAAGGGCAAACTATAATCGCCAAAAACCCACAAGAACATACAACTACAATAAATTAGATCTAAATTAAAGTAATACAAATTACAAACTACAACTTACAAAACTAAAGGGGCATAAAACAGGAAACTAAGTCGGCAAAACAGAAGTGTTCTAAACCAAGGAGGAACCTGGAAAAGTGAGGGAAACAATTAGCCAGGCTCAACCTTACTGCTTTAAAATACATTTAAAACCATGTATCTACTCACCACCTCTGAGATGGGTCATGAAGATACAAAAAACAATGGTCACAGGGCAGGAGAAAAGAGGCTCCTAACAGAGTCAAAGAGCAGGAAAGCAACATAATCAACTGTTAAGGGGAAATAGATGTGCATGAAACTATTCCCTTCACATACCTGGGCTATAAACACCAACCGCAGCCACAGCAGGGACAGATCAGGAAGCAGAGAGTAAGCAAGGGAACACAGGTGTCTTATTTAGCCTAAGCCTAATAAAGAGGGTGGCCATGGGAGGAGTTAAGTCAAGGCTGGATTCACCATCACTACACATTAACCTGCACTTGGGTAATCTTTCCCCACCACACTAAGATGCCAAGTGGCTCATGGCAGCCAGAAAGCTAATGCTCCCAGCCATGACATGGTCACTTGCCTTAGTTGCAAATTTACGCCTAAACGAGTTAAGTTATGCCCCAAGTAATTGTGGTGAAACCAAATTTAAGTAACTGATTTAGGTGGCTTTCGCACCTGAAAGTCCGCACCTAGGTCCTAACCATAGTTCACGTTTTTATTAGTACTATTTGTAGTGGCTATTTGTCCATAAACTTAAACAAAACAAAATAACAAACTTCTCAAATGGCCACTTGAGGCTACGTCATGGTTGGGCTTTACGCAGGTTCAGAGGTACCAAATCAAAGTAATGTCCATAACAAGATTGAGTTTGAGGAGGTTTATTCACACACATAAGCAAGCTTACAGACATTTCTGCAGCCTCTCTCACGCTGGTAAAAAACCATATGCCCTCGTGCCTGCAGTACCTCCCACCTTGACCTATTTATGCAAATGATCATAACACCATGTGACCAACAACCACAATGCAAGTAAAGCATAAATACAAAATAAACCAAATTAACTTTAACAAGAAAATAAATAAATTAGGCTATAAATTAACTTAAGCCCAAAATAAACAAAATAAGAATATAGCTCCAACACTATTAGTTAGTTGGTTTGGATTCATATTTCAATTCTGCAAGCGCACTAAAGAACTTTACATGATGGTCTTGCATCCTGTCACCATCATGTCTGTGGGCTGCATCTCCCTATACTGAAAGAAAGTGACTGGTTAGGGAGAGCAGCAGCAACCCCCCCCCCCCCCCCCCCCCCCCCTCCCAGGGCAACCTGTGGTACTCACTGAGCTCACGGGATGCTCCACCACTGGGGTGGACGCCTTTATGTACCCTCTGTGGCTGAGCCGGCTACTGTATGCTTTGGCGAGTCTCCCCCAGACGGTATCAGGGGCACTACCCAAGAGGTGTCTCTTCCTCTGTGGCGTTGCATGATGGAATGTCTGTGCATGACATTTGTGTGGCAGCCTCCTGGTCGTCCCCATGCTCATACGTCCGTTGTCTCTCGTTTCTCCATGACTCACTCGGGTCTGAGTGTTCTGTCTGAGTGAGGCCAATGTGCACAGCTGTAGGGTAAGCCGGTCGACACGCACCCATGGTCTGCTAGACATTTGTGTGGTATCTCGGTTGTGACTTGTCTTTACAAATTGTAATATATATGTGTGACTAAGAGTATGTGCATTTACAATGATACTGACAATGATTTAACTCCATAGAATAAGACATGAAATAAGGCTGCTGTGATTGAACCTCTCTGTCTGTGTGACCGCACAGTTTCCCAGCATGCCTCAGCTGTGGAGCTGTATGAGGGGGAGGAGTTTGTCCTGCTGCCCTGTGAGTACAACACTTTTGACATAGACTACCCCACAGTGGTGTGGAGCCGCTGCGATCTCAATCCTCAAACCGTCCACCAGCGTCAGCAGGAAGGTGATGAACTTAAAGACCAAAACCAGCTTTACAGCGGCCGAACATCCATGATGACTGACGCTCTGGAAACTGGAGACCTCAGCCTCAACCTGACAAAACTCCAGCTCTCTGACAGCGGCACCTACACCTGCACCGTCAGTGCATTGGGAGGACAATGGAGATTGTCAGACATACGGCTGCTGGTGAAAGGTGAGCAACAAACTCAGTACTGTCTTTTCCCTGAGTATTAGAGGCTCTCTCTGAAGACGTGATGGAGAGATGGAAGGAAGAGATGTGAGGAAAGAGGAGTTCAGACAGTGAACACACTCATTTAACACCATGTTGAGTCAGAAACAGAGTCCATCTATAAGTGAGAGCAACATAACAGCTGAGGTGGATCTGGTATTTGTCAGGTGGTGTCAGTTTTAAACTGTAGCTGATTTGGTTTCACAGTTGCTGTGATTGAACCTCTCTGTCTGTGTGACTTCACAGTTTCCCAGCATGCCTCAGCTGTGGAGCTGTATGAGGGCGAGCAGTTTGTCCTGCTGCCCTGTCATTTTCCCCCATTGGACCTGGACGAACCCACAGTGGTGTGGAGCCGCTATGATCTCGATCCTCCAACCGTCCACCAGCGTCAGCAGGAAGGTGATGAGCTTAAAGACCAAAACCAGATTTACAGCAGCCGAACATCCATGATGACTGACGCTCTGGAAACTGGAGACCTCAGCCTCAAGCTGACAAAACTCCAGCTCTCTGACAGCGGCAGCTACACCTGCACCGTCAGAGCGTTAGGAGGAAACCGGAAAGTGACAGAGATCCAGCTGCAGGTCAAAGGTCAGCAACAAACCCTAACACCTACTGTAGTACAGGTCAGAGGTCAGAGGTCATGTTCTTATGCTTCTGGTTCCCACAGAACGATTTCCACCCTGGGTCAAAGTTCTCCTGGTTCTCCTGGTTCTCCTGGTTGCTGGTCTTGTTGCTGTGGGTCTTTTGGTACATTTCCGGCAGTATTTCATGTCAGGTATGTCACTACTGCTACACTTCCAGCATATGAAGGTGTTATTGGAGCAAAACAGCTGAAGACCTGTGACAGTGGAATTTGTAGTTGTAGAAAATAGTCACACATGTTTGATATTGATATCACAGAGAAAACTGTTTTAGGGGTACTAGAAGTTTTTCTCTCTCCAACAAATACAACAAGTGTAGTGTGTAAAGAGGTTGTGCTGAGCAGGTTCAGTTCAATGATTTATTAAAGAAAATCAAGCACACTTAAAGGCAGTGGCTGTGTCCAAAGCAAAATCCAAAGTAAGCACGGTGAAATATAAATCCCAAAACGGGCAATGGTGAGGCTGGAACAAACAAGCGACAGAGCAACTGAAAGCTACAAGCTACAATCTAAAATAAACCAACAAAGACTGAACAGAACACAGGCATTAAATACTGAGGCAAACAAGCGGTGTGGGAACAAGGTAATGAAACAGAAAGGGAAACAAAACCCACTGACAACTTCAGACTAAAACAGTAAACAGCTTGACACTGAAACATGGACCAAACAGACATAGCACTCAAACAAACATATAACATGATACAGAACATACCACAATCTCAAAGTGGTGCTAATAGCAGTGGCATTTCTATAAATACCCACAAAACCCATCTCCTCTTCTTTGCTCTTGCATCCTGCACCCCTCCCGCCCACCCCTATTTGTCTGGTCTCCTCATCTCCTTATTCTTGTCCATAGGGTTATGGGGGAAACAGATATACATATATATAAACACAACACAGAATACATGTCAAATCTAAGCAGGAAAGAAACTAGTAAACAGATCTAAGAACTAGAGGCGGAGCTATAATTCAGAGCACGAGTACACACTAAGACACAGAACTAAGACATAGGACTAAGAACAAAGGACAAAATGTGCACAAATCAGTGTACAAATGCTGAGAGCTGCACACCTGTAGAATATTTTTCTAGCTCTGTAGGCATCTTCCAGAAAACTCTAATCTAGTTAACCTGAGATCAGTAAAAGTCTGGGGTTTTTGCTCCACAAAGAGAGCTAACTTTAACTCTGGGTCAGTTGTTGTGGTAACTGACTCTGTCTTACAGAGCCAGACCAACATATTTTCATCTCAAGGGATTTTGTCGTTGATTAATATTTAATTAATAAGTCAACACTGTAATGTGAAACTAGCAGGCTAATTCCACATATATAGCAAATGGATTTAAGTCTATTCTGTATACTTAGCACTTAACGTGCCAGTGTAGCAACAAAGCCGAATGTGCGAATCGCTTCAATCATTCAACTAGTATCTTTTTTTACGGGCACTATTTATTTATTCTGTCAAAACAGGACGTTAACTCCGTCCATACAGCTAGCCAAATCCATTCACAGAAAAACATATCTTCGTTGATTAAGAGTGTAACTTAGCCTCTCATACTCTCATCGTCTTCCAAAAATTCATCATTCATAATTTCCATTTGAAGAGTAATATATACTATGGCATATTACTGCTATCAGCTGAATTTAATAGGAAAAACTGGCAACTGTGGGAACTGGACTACATTTGAGATTCGTGGGGGTCTGTAGTATAACTAACGTTACCGGCAGATAAATAAATAAATCTTATTAATGTAAATATTAATTTCAATGAAATACATGTGTGATTAAAAATAATGATTGTAGGTAAAATAATTAGTGACCCCCACAGACGCATGATTTTAAGAGCTCAGACCCTCCTTATGGACCGTAACTAGAACCCTGCTGGATTACATGGACTACAGCTTGTGGACTCTCAAACTGTAAAATCTGTAAAAATGAACACACGTGCAATACCATATACCTGTATGATAGTTTTGTAATGATCCACTTTTTAAAAATGAATGGAGACACAAAGTAGGTAATAATACTTTTACTTTATTCACTGTATACACGCACACACAGATTACACAGTTAGAACAGGAGTTGGAAGCATTGACTGATTTGCATTTTACAAAACATTTTAAAAAGTCTGAATGCATGTTGGCATGTTCCACCAAATATCTACCACTTTCAATATTTGTAAATCTAAATCACGCAAATTAGGATATGCCAACAGTGGCTGTGGTGAGCCCCTGAAGATCTTTGGGACGAATAGTTTCTTTCTGTGGAAAACGTAAGCTGTTCATATAACCGTGTGTGTTAAATCTCTCCCTGCTCCAAAACAGCTGATTCAAACTATCAAATCATTATAAATCCTGAAGCTGCTTCAATAAGCTGTGTTCAAGCAGGGAGAGATTAAATCATGTAGGACGGGAGGAAACTTTCTCCAGGAGAGGGTTGGGAAACGTTACATAAACTTCAATTCAACTAAGATGAATTCATACAGCCAGCAAAGACACAGAGCGGTCTAAACGATATAGATCTTTATTTTATCTTCTTTTGGACAAACATATGTCACTTGTGTACAGTATCCCATAAAAAAGTCTCAGTTAAAAGCTTTAAGTAAAATGTATTAAAAAATTAACGCTGACAACACCACCTACAAAATAAGGTTTGGAACCAAACTGGTTCTTCGGAGTGATGCCATAAAAGAACCATTTTTAGTTCCAAGAAGAAGCTTTTAGCAAGTGGTTCTTTAAAGAACCATTTCTGCAAATGTTATAGGTTAACCTAAGAAATGATTGTGTGTGCAGAGTTGTTACTGTCAGCGCTATATTTTGAATATTAAATTCATATTTAATGTGGTTTCCACCGTAATGAACCAAGCTGTTCCCCCTTTCTACCAGCAGGTGGCAGGATTTAAATGAAGGCCTGTACTGTGTCTTTATTAAACGTTTTGATTTTTCGTTTGGATTCAAAACGTTTAATAGACACAGGACTGACCTTCAGTTAAACACTGCCACCTGCTGGTAGAAAGGGGGAACAGCTTGGTTCATTAAATATTTATTTAATTTTAAAAACATAGCGCTGACAGTAACAACTCTGCACACAGTCATTTAGCCTACCATCTGTACTGCACCAAACAATGTATTTAAATTTTATTTTAACATGTTTACCATTACTTCCAGGCCACCTGGCTCACCTGTCTCTTTTCTTAAAATCTATCTTCAAACAGAGAAATAAAAATAGGAGTTTCAAAAAAACAAAATCGGACCATTATTTGAATTTGGTTTAGTAGTTTTTCATTTTTGGTTTCAGAAACCAAAAAACACAACAAAAAAAACAATGGCTCTTTTTTCCCCCGTTTCGTTTTTGGTTTGAAACTACAAATGAAAAAACAAACTATCAGAATGTACACGGACAATTCGTGCTTAAAAATTTAAGCAGACTTAAAGCAGATTTTTTTGTGTTGTATAGGCTACAGACCTGTGTGGTTTTATTTTTCAGATAGTGATGCAATGATTAGGTCATTAGTCAATTGACAGAAAATAAAATCAACTTTTTATAATAGGACTTGAAAGTCAAGGCGGGGCGAGTCAAGATGTGAGTGTGAGGCCCTGCAATGGACTGGCGACCTGTCCAGGGTGAACCCGCCTTTCGCCCAATGTCAGCTGGGATTGGCTCCAGAACCCCACAACCCTGTATGCAGGATAAGCAGTTGACAATCGAGGGATGGATGGACTTGAAAGTCATTTGAGTAATATTTTAGCAAAAAGAGTCAAATGTAAGAATCTGCTACATTTAATTATAATAACCTACATTTAAATTTTCTGTTCTGATGGACAGACAAGATGTCAACTTGGGAAATTGTGATGGGCACTTTTCAGTGTTTTGATAAGTTTTAAAGAACAAATGATTAATTGAAAAAGTTAGCAGATTAATCAATAATGAGTGTAGTGATTAGCTGCCCCACAACCTTGCCCTGATAAAACACCAGTAGTTAAATGATTTAGATGTACAATATTGACAGCAGTAACTATTATGAAGGCGAACACATACCAAGAGCAATGCATTCAGACTTTACCCTGTGGGGGACGTAAAAAACAGTTTATTTATGGTTATTTCCTGTCCTGACCGTCCTGATAGTGGAGGCCTGCACCGGAAGCGACTCCACAGTGGAGGTGGCCCTATGTGAAGGCTTGTAACAAATATGGCCCAATGGCAGACTGGGTCCAGATCCGGACTGCGGTCCGCCAATTAGTGACCTCTAAATTAGAGTATTGTAATATGGCTGCCATATGACCGTATTGCCATAATCCTGTTCCATCCATTGTGAAAAGATTGTTAGAAGCATTGTCTGTCAGTATATGTGTTAATTAGTGATATATTAATGAAGAGAACAGCTAATTTCTGGAATATGCTGAATTTTTCATATTATTAGATTACATGTGACTGCAGCTGTACTAACATAGGTTTGTTTCCTTATTTAAGCTATTATCTTATGCTAATGGCCCTGCGATGGACTGGCGACCTGTCAATCCCAGCTGACATCGCCTTTCGCCCGATGTCAGCTGGGATTGGCTCCAACCCCCGCAACCCCGTATAAGCGGTTGACGATGGATGGATTGATCTTATGCTAATTTCATGCATACTTGTTAGCATACTTATTTTTTTTACTGTGGTGTTTATTCATTGTATAATACTTCATAAACAGAATGCTGGTTCTCCTGGAGTTTTTGAGTAGATGTTTGCGCTGACTGGATAGATAGGCACAAGAATGTTTAGCAGTTTAGACTTATACAGGAACTTATTTTATTAAAAAATAAATAACCAATAACATTATTCTTACAACATGAATATTAAGTTACTAACAAACATGAACAAAAAAACCCATAATGTTAACAACTTTGACTGCTGTGCCATTTACCCCTCACTTGTTTTGTCCTGGCGTCTCTCCTCCTGTTAAAGAAAAAGTCATCCCACACACACGTGCACCCGGGGGAGACAACACATGTGGGATATGGGACACACCCACTGTGTGCACCAGCTCACCCCACCTTAGGCCATCAGCACCTAATAGAGACTAAGAACAATATAATTAATAAGACCCCTTAAACCAAATCTTATTCAACTTAGATAAATAAGGCAATAATCAGAAATCAAATAGCCAAATAAAGAGATACAACTAAGAAAAACGAAAGGAAACACTTAAATCCCACTCCAAGATGTTAAATTACCCTGAGCTCATAAAAATAAACCAAAGATAGGCACAGTGGTTTTAACACGGGGATACTCTGCCACACTAACAAACTAAATCTGGATTCATGTCTTCTTTTGTTAGGGAAGAATGTCTGGGGAAACACAATACAGCAGGGAGATTTGCTGACCACAAACTGGGGACATTTGTATGTCGGCAATGTTGGCTAAGGCTTTGTGTTGTGCTGTTGATTGTAGAGACACCAAAGACAACACTGTCTCTGTTAGATGGAACAATGGGACATATTTCAGAGTTCCTGCTGCTGTCTGTACAGCTGATGTTGTGCTTTGTTGTCCTCTCAGTCTACCAGGTGGAGGTGGATTCAGAGGTGAAGTCTGTCCTGCTGCCCTGCAAAACCACAGCTCACCTGCCTGAAGACGTCACAGTGGAGTGGAGGAACAGTTACAACATGAAGGTCCACGTATATAAGAACGGCTCTGACCAGCCTGAAGAACAGGACAGTTTTTACAGAGACCGAACAGAGATGAAGAGAAACCTGCAGAGACCTGGAGACCTCAGTCTGACCCTGAAATACCCCACAGACAGAGACAGTAACACCTACACCTGCACCGTCTACAGCAGGGAGAGAGACATCCTGATGGAGAAACAAGTGAAGCTCTGGGTCAGAGGTCAGTGCTGTAGATACACAGTGATGTTATTTTTTCGGATTAATCCGGAATTTCCGGATTTTTTTCGACCTGAAAATATGATGCACGTGAATCATGCAGATCTGTAATAAAAAAAGAAGGGGGGGTGCAGGACCCGGCCGAGTGTGTAAGTATCAACAAGGATGTTTGTTGCCAATACCAATTCAACACCTGCGCAGTGTGTACCACAGGCGCTCTCGTGCATCCGTGGTACTTAAGTGTTGGGCAGTAATAGGCCTACTGCAATATTACTTTTCCCAGTAAAGAGTAATGTAACGGATAACTATTTCCAAAACACTTGTATTATTACAGTTACTAATTCAAGTAACGCTGCGCTACTGAACGCACCATCCCTGATGTGAATGCAGGTGCGCTGCAGCTCAGCGGCACCTTCTGTTGTTCAAGTCAGCTGTTAGCCAACAAGCTAAAGGACGACGGAGAACAGGGAGAACGGTATTTTCGACAGCTGTATGTAACGTTATTGCCATTATTGTGTCACAGTCTAAGATGCAAAGAACATTGTCGTCCTTTGTAAACTTTGTGCGACCAGCAAAAAGCTTTCAACCGTGAACAGTTCTACATTCATTCTTAGGCTAATTGAAGCATCAGCTAAAGCAACTCAGCAACGTGAAACTCAGAGAGAAACTCTGGCCGCTGCTGCCAGTGATGCTTGGACTCATGGGGAGATATAATAGATAACAGGCTATCACCCAGTAATGGGCCTAAGTGGAGTAGCTAATATTACCTTTTAAGGAGTAGGTCTATAGCCTATGCTAAATAACTAGTAGGTAATATTATTTCTGAGTAACTTGCTCAACACTGAGTTGACAATAAGGATCAGATAAATGAGGAATGTTTGATTATTGCCTGTTAGAGGCTATGTCTAATGTTTACTTTGACTTTGTTGTCTATTGATCACTAGTGTAGCCCATACACTGCTGTATGAATGGTTGCTTTTTAAGTCGTCCTTATGTTAAAGGTTTTGGCACGTTATTAATTAATTTCTTGTGAATGTTTTTCCTGGCATCGTCTGCCTGATGGCAGTAACTGGAAAGAGTGATGGAGAGGGTTTAGAGGGGTCCCCTGTGATCAGGGTGGCCTTCCTGATCACAGAACGGTTGTGCAGTTCAAATAAGAGGGTTTGTGGTGAGACGATTATCTTGCTGCAGTGGTTTATTATGCGGGAGAGTTTGGCTTTATGTTTGACTGTGAGGAGGTTGTACCAGGATGAGATGTTGAAGGTGAGAATGGATTCAATGAGTGACGAGTAAACCAGAGTCAAAATATCCTTGCTGACATGAAAACTCCTTCATTTCCTCAGCAGGTGGAGGCGCTGTTGTGCTTTGTTGAACTGCAGGAAATGCTGTTCGTATAAGCAGAGAAGAGAATGGGAGATAAGACACAGCCCTGGGGGAGTCCAGTGTTTAAAACCAGCTTGCATCTGTTGTGGTCTGTCTTGTAAAAAACTATCCATAAAATCAGTGTCGGGTGGACCTGGAGGTCAGAGAGGCAGTGCTGTTGTTTAGTGACAGTGTCTAAAAGCGTGAGAGTTGCATCCTCTACACCGCGTTTTGTCTTATAGGCAAACTGAAACGGATTCTAGTTTGTCTGACAGCATTTTCGACAGATGGTTGCATACAACCCTCTCCATACCTTTACACAGCACTGATGTCGAGGCTACTGGTCGGTAGTCCTTCAGGTCTTTAGCAGGTGTCTTTTTGGGCAGTGGAATTATGGAGGATTCTTTCCACTGGTTGGGAACCCAGGCAGAGTCCAGGAGGTGCTGGAACAGCCTTGTGAGAAATCCACCGAGCCGAGTGGAGCATTCTTGGAGCAGCCTGCCTCTGAGCCTGTCAGGGCCAGCAGCTTGTGTGGGTTGACTCTGAGTAAGATGGAGGTCACCAGGTGTTCACCAATAGTGATGGCTTGGAGGAAGCAGCTGGGGGTCGGGGAGGTCCAGGTCATTGGAGTGCTGCTACTGTTGAACCGGGTGAAGAAACTGTTCAACTGCTCTGCATAGGAGGTGGGGTCTGAGCAGCCAACCACTGGCGGTTTGTGGGCTCTGCCCATCTGTCACGCCTCCCTCGCTTTTCCAGAGGTTAGTTTCTGTTCCACCTTGTTCTTGTAGTGTATCTATATAGATTGTTTTGTTCATAGTGTGTATCTTAGTGTTGTCTACTCTGTAGTTTGTGTCTGATTTTATTATATTATTATTTTATTATTGTACGAGTAAGCACATCGTGAGCGATGTACAATCCTGAGTCAGATTCCTCGTATGTGTACACATACCTGCCAATAAAACTGATTCTGATCTTAGCTAGCTTGGCCTTCTTCCTGAGCTCCTTCTCCAGCTTGTCTCCTTTCAGAAAAGCTTTTTTCTTCTGGACCAGGCAGTTTTTCATGTCCCTTGTGACCCGTTTTTATTGTTTGAGTGTATAGTTATTTGCTTGGTGGGAGTGACAGTATCCTCACAGCATAAAATGTAAGATGTAAGTACATCTGTAAGTGCATGTGAGTCGTCACCACAGTCATTAAAAACCAAGTCCCAGTCTGTCAGTTCAAAACACCCCTTAATGTTTCAGATGTTTCCTTATTCCAGAATCTGATAGATTTTGTGATGGGTTCATCTGTTTTTAATAGTGACCTATATATTGGCAGGAGTAAAATGACATTATGGTCAGAGCGACCGAGAGGTGGGCGTGGTTTAGAGATGTAGGCATTTGTGATGTTGCCATAGCACTGGTCCAGTATGGTCTGAAGTCTGGTGGGGGTTGTGACATATTGCTCTAGGTTGGGCAAGTGAGTGGTGATGTCACACCTGTTCTCCCAGTAGAAACACTGGCTGTGCTCTGAAGGACACAGTCAGCAGCTCATAATGTTTACAGCTCTGTGTCTTTCTCACTGAAAAGTTTGTTGCCCACTTGCTGCTGACAGAGACGTTGACAGAGCCCGCCCCCAATTGACTTCGTGTTGTTGCTGCAACTCTGTCAAAGCGAATGATGTTAAAACAATCTAATTGAAAGTCTGTGTCCTCAGAGAGTCATGTTTCTGTGAAACAACAGAACAGGCTGGTTTGCCGATAGTCCTGATCATGCCTGACGAGCGTGAAAGGTCCCCAAGTCTTATTTCGTAGCGATCTCACGTTTGACGGGGTTATTGCAGGTAGAGGTAGCCGGCTGCCTCTCCTCCTTAATCTGTTGCGTATCCCTCCTCTGGAACCTCTTTTCCTCCGAATACACTTCTGTTTGTGTCCTCGAAGTAATTCTTGAGGTATGATATTGGTTCGGATGGATATGTGTGCTGGATCCGACTGAAGGCGGTTCAGCTCCAACAGGTGATCTCTTGAGTAGGTGAGTCTGCCGGGGTCGATGGTGAATGACAGCGCCGGTTGTAAACAAAGTCCATTTACGTGCCATAGACTGGTGATCATGAGCCAGAGGAGCGCCAGGTTAAATATTATTGCTGTTAACATTCTGAAAACGACTAGACAACGATAAAAACCCACCATAAAAACAATTAAAAACAACATAAAACATGCACATACTGACTCCGTGTCCGGAGTCGCTCTGGCAGAGTAGCGCCCCCTTTCCCTTTACAAGGCCTGTGGATTATTTAGTTATAGACTCAGTTATTTCATGTTTCATGTTGTACATTTAGCTGTTTAAGTTTGGTAAAAATGAATAATTATTATAGAGAGGTTGCGATGGTACAGTGGATTAGACCCTTGTCTTTGATTCCCACTGCAACACATCCATTAAATAACTTAAGTGTCATGAGTCCTGCTTTACCGCCCATGTTAAAGCCGGCGCCAGTTTAATCGGGTGTCGGTGGGTCTCAGTATATTTTCCTGCTTTTTTGCCCTTTGCAAATCACATGCCTGAGATACAGGTCAGAGGTCAGAGTCAGGAGCCTCCCAGCTCCTGGTTCAGGTAAGATCAAAGTGTTTTAGTACCTGAAGCAGCAGCAGGTGGTACTCAGGACCTGAACCGACCTCTGAGTGAAACCTGAGTGTGAACTTCCTGGACCGTAACAAACGCTGCCAGTGAACAGAATCCAGGCAGAAAGGATGTTTCCTTCCAAACATGTTTGTCAGAAACATTTAGTTGATATTAAATCTCATTTGTAGGAGACAGTTTTTATATTTAGGATCAATATGTGTAAATATCAATCAGAGAGGTCTGTCCAGTTTATGTCCCCTAAAGCCAAACAGTAAATCTAAAAGTGAGCCGTGGAGCCTGAGAAGTTTCTCTCTTCCAGGTAAGATTCTCTCCTCAAAGACTGATGGAGTCCCAGCTCCTCTCACTGGACCGTGAATAGCGGTCAGAGCTAATCTCACAAATTCTCTGTATTTCCTGTGACTCCTTCATAATAAAAGTCAACTGCTGTTTCACCAGTTAAATGCTCTTAATGTGAAGCTGCAGCAGCAGGAAATGTTCACTTTGCATTAGCAGCAACTTAATACTGCAGTTTTTCCCTTGGTAATACTGCAGATATGTAAATACTGCAGTACTTTGATCAGTGGGCCACAGGCTCAGTCAGCACTGTGTTACCTCATTAGACGATAGACAGTGACTGAACAGACATTTATTTAATGAAAACCTTCAGATTCTAACTTTAATAAAGATTTGATTGAGTCCATCTGACAATAATACTCAGTGATTTAATAAACAGTCAGTTGTGCTGTTGATTGTAGAGACACCAAAGACAACACTGTCTCTGTTAGATGGAACAATGGGACATATTTCAGAGTTCCTGCTGCTGTCTGTACAGCTGATGTTGTGCTTTGTTGTCCTCTCAGTCTACCAGGTGGAGGTGGATTCAGAGGTGGAGTCTGTCCTGCTGCCCTGCAAAACCAAAGTTCACCTGCCTGAAGACGTCAAAGTGGAGTGGGGGGACAGTTACAAAATGACGTCCACGTATATAAGAACGGCTCTGACCATCCTGAAGAACAGGACGAATATTACAGATACCGAACAGAGATGAAGAGAAACCTGCTGAGACTTGAAGACCCCAGTTTGACCCTAAAATACCCCACAGAGGGAGACAGTAACACCTACACCTGCACCGTCTACAGCAGGGATGGAAACATCCTGAGGAATAAACAAGTGAAGCTCTGGGTCAGAGGTCAGTGCTGTAGATACAGGTCAGAGGAACTGTGAAGCAGCACATGGACAAAACAATCCCAGCAGCATCAAGACTCTGATCATCTCCAACAGCTTCCTGTGTTTCTGTCCCCTGTTAGCTGCTGCTCTCATCTGCTTCTGTCAATAAAGTTATTCAAACTGCTGCTGCTGTCTGTGCAGCTCATGTTCTGCTTTGTTGTCCTCTCAGTCTGTCAGGTGGAGGTGGAGGAGGGGGCGGAGTCTGTCCTGCTGCCCTTCAAGACCACAGAGAACCTGCCTGAGGACGCTGAGGTGATCTGGATCTGCGATGAACCCAAACCCACAAAGACGGTCCACGTGTATCAGAACGGCTCTGACCAGCCTGACCAGCAGGACCAGGTTTACAGAGACCGAACAGAGATGAAGGAAGACCTGCTGAGAACTGGAGACCTCAGTCTGACCCTGAAATCCCCCACAGACAGAGACGGAGGACGATACAGGTGCAAAGTCTACAACATGAATGGAGACCTCATGAGATGGAAATCAGTTGTTCTCAGGGTCAAAGGTCAGTATGCAGACTGAGGTCAGAGTCTCTGTGTTTGTCTCTGTCTGACTGTCCTCTGTCTCCTCTGCAGAGAGAAGCAGGAACAGAAGCAGCTCCGCTGATCCAACTCCTCTGATGGCCGATCAACCTGTTTGATCTTTGATCATTGATCCGATCTGACTCTGGATCAGAGAGAAAATGGAGGTGAAGCAGCTGATGGAGGACGGATGAAGACAGGAGGACGCTTTGTCAGCTTCTTCTTCACTCTGACTCCTCCTACTGACTCTCACACACAGTCTACACACTCACTATTGATTCCTGCTGATCAGTGATGTCAGAGTGAGGTCAGCGTGATGTCACATGTTGATCCGCTCTGGGATCTGGACTGAAAGGTGTCCCTGTTAACTCAGGGTTTTCATCCAGCTCTGAGTGTGTTGATGTGAAACAGGACAACAACATTATCACAACCATAAAGGGTAGAGCTTCATCTGAGAGCTGCTGAATAAATATTAGATTTCAGATGCTTCAGGAAGTTTTCAGCTGGCAGGGGACACAACAAGACTTTAAACCAGGACTCTGAGACTAAATCCAGGTCGATACAGGTTCCAGTAAGGACACTGGTCATAGTCCACTGAAGCCAACCAGGTGTTAGTGACTGACTCTGATATAATTTACTTTGTGTACTCTGTGCTTACCAGTGTTTTAGCTTTAATGTATCTGTTCTGTCTCATGCAGTGTTTCTGAAATCAGGCTTCATTTCTCTCCAACTTGTTTCAAGATTTAGACTTTCAGTTCAAACCAGGCTGAAACACTCTGAGCTGGTTTGAAGAGAATCAGAAGTGTCTTTATGAGATGGGAGGTGTTAAAGACTGAAGAGGTGTGTCAAGCAAACGAGAGACTCTTGAATGTCCTTCAGAACATAAAAGCTCTCAATAAACTTGAAATAAAGTTGGCTGCAAAAAAAACCCCAAAACATTCTTGCGCTTTTAGTTTGGAGGCACAAAGACTTAATAGGAAAGGATTATGTGAGTAACTGTAGCTGTCATGACGGAGATCTATTTCAGCACCAGTTGCTATCAATGTATTTATTTATTTTTTCTATCAAAGCAATCTGGCCGCGGGACATATATTATTGCTGGCGGGGCAGTTTTGGCCGCCTGTTGCCGACTACTGGGTTTTGGGTTCAAAGTCCAGTCAGGAAAAGTCTGCTAATTTTAACATATTTAAATGAAAATATGAAGACGTTGCAGAACATTGATCATTTGTGACAATCACAGCGAACAACGTTTCACTTTCACTAAAGTGTACAGCAGGTGAAATAAGTATTGAACACGTCACCATTTTTCTCAGTAAATATATTTCCGAAGGAGCTATTGACATGAAATTTTCACCAGATGTTGGTAACAACCCAAGTAAGAAACCAAAACAAAGAAGTTCAGAAATAAAGTTATGTGTAATAATGTGAAATGATACAGGGAAAAAGTATTGAACACATGAAGAAAGAGAGGTGCAAAAAGGCATGGAAAGCCAAGACAACAGCTGAAAACTATCAGTAATTAAAAAGCAATCCAGACCCTTGTTAGTGCAAATTAATATCAGCTGGTTCAGTCCCAACTGATGGCCTACAAAAAGGTCTCATTGCCAAGGTGTCACACAAGACATATCCCATGATGGGTCAAAGCAAAGAGCTGTTTCAAAATCTTTGCAACCTAAAACACAATGATGGCATTGGTTATAGGCACATTTCTAAGCTTCTGAATGTTCCAGTGAGCGCTGTTGGGGCCATAATACGGAAGTGGAAAGACAATCATTTCACCATAAGTTTGTTTCGACCAGGTGCTCCTTGCAAGATTTCTGACAGAGGAGTGAAAAGAATAATCAGAAGAGTTGTCCAAGAGCCAAGGACCACTTGTGGAGAGCTTCAAAAAGACCTGCAATTACTGTTGTCTCAAAGAAAACCGTAAGTAATGCACTCCACCGCCATGGCCTGTATGCACGCTCACCACGCAAGACTCCGTTGCTGAAGAAAAAGCATGTTGAAGCTCGTTCAAAGTTTGCTGCACAACATTTGGAAAAGCCAGTGAAATACTGGGAGAATACAGTGTGGTCAGATTAGAGCAAAATTGAACTGTTTGGATGCCATAATACACACCATGTTTGGAGGAGAAATGGCACTGCACATCACCCTAAAAACACCATACCAACAGTGAAGTTTGGAGGTGGGAACATCATGGTGTGGGGCTGCTTTTCAGCAAATGGTACTGGCAAACTTCACATAATTGAAGGAAGGATGAATGGGCAAATTTACAGAGACATTCTTGACAGAAATCTGCTGCCATCTACCAGGATGATGAAGATGAAACCAGGGCGGACACTTCAGCAAGACAATGATCCCAAACACACAGCCAAGGAAACTCAACTGGTTTCAAAGAAAGAAAATAAAGCTGCTAGAATGGCCCAGCCAATCACCTGACTTAAATCCCATTGAAAATCTATGGAAAGAACTGAAGATCAAGATTCATAGAAGAGGCCCACGGAACCTTCAAGATTTGAAGACGGTTTGTGTGGAAGAATGGGCCAAAAATCACACCAGAGCAACGCATGTGACTAGTTTCTCCAATATATCAAAGTAGGTAATAGTACGTTCTGTGTTGTTTTAGTGTGCAATAATATATTCCACCAATTTAATGATGAACAGTCGATTAATACACTGCATTTTTCATGGCAGGTATCTGACTGAACTGGACAACAGTACACATCCTGCTCAGTGGTCCTGCTAGAAAATAGTGGTGCATCGGATCATCATTGATCCGTGATCCGTTCGGATCAATATCTTTGGTTCGGCACACACGTGATCCGCGGATTGATTTATGAAAAAAAAAAAAAAGTTGCGCGCATGTTCAGTCCACACACTGCGTGCACATGGTCATGGCGAACGCCCCACGTCATAATAAATTTAAATCCCCTGTATGGGAGCATTTTGGCTTCCCTGTCAAATATAATGATGAAGGAAGGAGGTTAGTGGATAAAACCGTGACGGTGTATAGGCACTGTGGCACAAGAAAGCCATATGACAGTGGAAACACATCAAGCATGGCCACGCATTTGAAGCGACGTCACCCCGGTGTTTCACTGACCGTGGCATTTAAGCAGCCCCTTGTTGCACAATCAGACCGGGCAAAAGCCATCACAAACGCTATTGGTGGGTCTATAGATGCAGACATGAGGCCATATTCAGTTTTGCAAAACGAGGGCTTTAAACACATGCTGAAAGTGTTTGAGCCACGTTACGACATCCCGTCGCGCACCCACTTCAGCGAAAAGATTGTGCCAGATCTTTATGAGCAGGAGAAGAAAAAAGTTGTGATGAACTATCCCGAGCATCCTCTGTTGCACTCACGACAGACGGGTGGACGTCCAGGGCAACGGGGAGCTATGTAACGATAACCGCTCACTTTATCACAGCAGACTGGGAGATGAGAAGTCTGGAGCTGCAGACACCTCAAACCCTCTACGAGAGTCACACTCATCTTGCGCAGATACTGACACAAGCAGTGGGGGAATGGAAGATAAAGAGGCCCAGTACTAATATCCCAGTCACAACTGATAATGGCAAAAATCAAATAAATGCAGTGAATGAGGCAGGACTGGGCCCACAGATAGGGTGCTTTGCACATGTAGTGAATTTGGCATCACAGAAGGGAATCTCAGTCAATAGGATGGACCGCCTCCTTGGTAGGATCAGGAAGGTGGTTTCCTACTTCCACCAAAGCACAACAGCTGCTCATGTGCTTAAGACAAAGCAAGAAATGCTAAAGCTGCCTACTCATAAGCTCATACATGATGTCCCAACTCTGGAAACTGGAACTCCACTTATTATATGTTGGAGCATTATCTGGAGCAGTAGGCAGTTTTATACTCTGCACTGACCAACAAGACCCAGAAGAAAAATGTCAAAGACATCATCACCGTGTCTGATGATGATGTGAGAGTGGTAGAGGAGGTCCTCCAGGTTCTTAAACCCCTCAAAACTGTTACATCTCTGCTGAGCACTGAAACTTCACCATCTGTCTCAATGATCCTGCCGCTGAAAACAAGGATTCTACAATCCATGGCTCCAAGTGTGGAAGACAGCGCCATCACTCAAGATGTCAAGACTGCCATTAGAGAGGACCTGAAGCCCAGATACACTTCACCCCCTACTCTACAGGACTACCTTCACAGATCTACTGCACTGGATCCGAGGTTCAAGTCCCTATGCCAGAGGACATACAGTGACCTTACCACTGAGATTGTGACCAGTCTGGGCACTGAAGACTGATGAGGTAAAGAAAAAGAATATTATTTAAAAATGATACATTTTAATCTAAATACATTTTTTATTTTCAGTGATAATGGCTGTGTTTTATTAAATGTTTTTGCCACATTTTTCATGTCTATGAAACATGAAAATAAATAATAGGTTTAATTAATTAGATGGGCGGGCCCTCGCACGTGTAGCGCGTCGGGGCACGAGGTGTCCGCGGTGCACATTCTGGAGCTCTTCCGGTGTGGCTGTGAATTTGCTACGCGCTTTGGACGCTGCATGAAGGTGTTATGTCACTTCCTGTGTCCCCTTTGTGGCGCTACATAACACTTGGCAGTATGAATATAAAGCAATATTGGCGTGTAGATGTCTTCGGGGTGGGAGAGTTATCAAGCACGTAAAAGTTTGATTCAGATGTGAGCATGTACACTGAAGTTACAACAACTTCCTGTGTCATGGCGAAGAGTTGATCTTTGACGGCACGCCACGGACACGCCCATCGACGAAAACTCACAGATAGCACAACTTTTCATCTTCAATGCCTTTAGAAGGCACAGCACAAATTTGAAGTCGATCCGACAAAATCCCTAGTAGGAGTTCGTTAAAGTACGAAGTGTGTAAATCATCCGACTTCCTGTTGACTTTAGGGTATGGGTTTTTGAGGCTTTTTTGTGTGTCTTGATATGATACATGTCCCCTGAAAATTTTGTGCATGTAGGTTGAACGTGGACGAGGGGCTAATTTTTCTAGGTGGCGCTAGCGAGTCATTTTGCCACACCCATTCGCCAAACCCATAAAATACAAAACTTTTCACCACTTCTGACGTGTGCAAAGTTTAGTGAGTTTGAGTATGTTTAGGCCCCTAAAATTTAGCTTACTTTGCAGAAAAAAGAAACAAAAAAAAAAGTACAGTTTCAATAGGGACCTCGCACGGTTCGTGCATGTAGACATCCTTGTCTTTTTGAAAAAAGATTCAACCTACATTGAAAAAGATTTTGAAATTATAAGCTCAGGTATGCTTTGTGTAACCCTTATCACGAGGTAGTAATAATGTACATAGGTGTAATAGTCTAAAGTAGTCTTATCATCAATGTGGACCAGAATGACCAGTGAAGACACTAAATTGTTAAGAACCTGAGAATTGAATGTCAATAAAGAGAATACCACACCCGAATGACAGTTTGCAGTAAGTGTATTAAATACACAGGGATGGTACATACATAAGAAAGCAGGTATGAAAAATAAACTAAAATAATAAAGTGCGCACATAAAAAAAAAAAAAAACCTTTCCTTTTAACGTCGTTGAGCTCAGTTCGTCCTTAGTTCCACTTGCCTTTATTGACAAGAGTTCATTTTTCACCGTTGGGGCCCTTTTAAGTTTGTGTTAGTGTTTGTCCTACCACCATAAAGATGAGGAAGATCCTGGCAATCCGTCTAAAGTCAGAGTCACAAACACGGTTGGCTCGCCACCCAGCCACCTAGACTGGGAATCCACAAAGCTCTGGAAAAACGTCTGGACCATGTGGATTGGTATCACTCCGTGGAATGGATCTCAGCTGAACTCAACTCTTTACCAAAACCTGACCTATAAACAAGGCCAAATCATTTCTCTCAATTACCATTCAGCAAATACATGGACTGCTACAGGCTACTATAAAATAAAATGA